ATGGCGCGGAGGAAGTTGTCTCGGGGAGTTCAGGGCTGCTAGTAGTAGTTGTATGTGGTACGTATGGCGCGGAGGAAGTTGTCTCGGGGAGTTCAGGGCTGCTAGTAGTAGTTGTATGTGGTACATATGGCGCGGAGGAAGTTGTCTCGGGGAGTGCAGGGCTACTAGTAGGAATCGTATGTGGCACGTATGGTGAGCTGGTTGAAGCGACCGAGCTGGTGGTTGTGGTTTCCGATTGGCTGCTTGGCTGGGTGTATGGCGGTCTCGTTGATGTGACGAGGGTCGTCGTCGTTGTAGTAGTTGTCGTCGTCGTCGTGACTGGTTGGGATTGATACACCTGAACGTAGTTGACATCCCAGTAAGCATCCTTGAACTGCTCAGGGTTGCTGCCAACGTAGATGGAGCACTGACTTTCGCCCGTGCTCGCTGCACATCCGCTGCTGGACCAAGTTGCGTCGCCAAAATCGCCGCAGAAAGTGGTGTCAAAGATGATCCTGTTATCGGCAAAGTTGGCGTCGACATCGCAGCCGGGGCCATCGAAGACGGAGAATGGAAGTCCCCATCCAGATGGGTCGGGGTTTCCAGACGAGATGTCCGAGGGGATGGAACTTCGCGCGAAGAACCAGACCTTGATCGCGTCCGAAGTCCACTCCATTGCGTATACACCACCACCGCCGCCCCGGTTAGCGTTGAAGCCTGATCCGTAGCTTGCAGAGCTGGTGGAAAATGCGCCACAGCCTTGAGCATTGGCGCCAGTGTCCACATCGTATTGGCAATTATTGCCGTTTGAGGTACCAGTCATTTCCGAGGAACTTTGGGAAACGACGCAGGTTTTGGCAACGTGCAACGATGTTAGGTCAGTACCTTGGTTGTTTGCACCCTCGATGATATCGATTTCACCATCTAGAAATCACGGAAGTTAGCTTCTCTGCCTAGAAAGGGATTAAACTGAAAGTTTGTCGATCTAGTGATCCTGAAATGTCCAGTTCAAGATCCCCGAAGCGTGAGAGGAATACTTACTGAAGGGCCATGTGCCGGAACCAAGAGTCCAGAACGCCGGCCAGACACCGCAACCGCTGCCATCTTTCGTTGTAGGCATATGTTTGATGTCGGCAACAAAGAGGCCGTGTGTCCATGACTTAGCACTTTCGATCCTGACACTCGGTCGCCCAACGCCGTTGATATTCGCGTACGCTGCACTGCCGTTGTATGTATTCTTGTGATCAGCTCTCATCTGGGTAGAGCCGCCATCGAAAGTGATCAATCCATCTGCCTGAGCTGTAGCTTCATCGACGTAACTATCTTGTGTCAATGTTCCCCATTTCGAAATGATCATTGTTGATCAACGTACGTGACGAAACCATGGGTCGGATCGGCATCCTTAGCGCTTGTCAGTATAAATCCACCTGCGAAGAGCTGCATTCATCTTACTGCGAAAAAGTTAAAGCCATCGAAGAAATTGTTTCCAGAATATTCGGTATCCAGAGCATAGTAAGTAGTAGGAGAATGAGCAGAAGCAGAGGAAAACAACAACAAAGCAGAAACGAGTGTGGTGCTCGACCTCAGAAGGAGTGATGAGGAAGGCATTTTGTTAAAGAGTGGCACGCGAACGTGAGGCAAAGAACGAAATAACGGCGCAAAGCACAGAACAAACAAGAAAGGAAAGGGAAGAAGGCAAGACAAGTTTCCTATACATAGATACTAAGAACATGACACAGTGCATCGCCGTTGCGGGTATCTGGACTCCGTGCTATGCGCAAGTCCCGCCGATAGTGCTTGTTGTGCGCCATCGCCACGCAGCGTCCCACACGGGTACATAGGTAAGTACTGGGTAGATGACGCGTTTTGTGCAAGTTGACCGAATGGACTCGGTTAAGGAGATGAGCTGCCTCAAGGGGACAGCAACACTGAGGGAAGCCAACCAATACGACGAAGAGCGTGGAGGCACATGGAGAGGAGTCAGGCTTCCACAACCGAACAAAGAGGCCGTTCATTCAACTCGCCTGAAGATCCGGCCCCCCCTTAGAAATCAAACCCTGGGAGGATACAGGAGCCGTGGACAATTCGGATATGTGCCCCCGGATGCAAAATAGAAAGCGATCGCGAGTGGGATCGTGGATGGCCAGCAAGCGAGGTTTCCACCGGCATAATAGTAAAATTGTGTGTGTCAGTTCGATGAGAGAAAAGAAATAGCTCAAAGAGGGCTGAAAAGGAGGCGCGAATAGGCTCACGGCGGTGGAGCTTGATCAAATGCTTGGCGCTGATTTAACCAATAGAAAATGTATGCAGTCCCCACTTAGTTGCCAAGTGCTTCCTAAAAAGGAAACAGAAGCCCAGTCCCCCTGAACCACCCAATTTACTGCTCAATGTAACCATTGGTTCCTCTTTGCCTGTGGCTATGCTCCGTACCAGTACTGTCTCCCTGAGAAAACTGTGTCAGAGTCCACATCGCCTCTTTTAAGTCTTTGGCGACTTCCTCTGGCGCTTCAGCCCACAACAAAGCCCACCACCACGTGCAAGGCAGTTCAGTGCCAAGGGCTGCCTTTTCTACTGTGTCTCCTTAGGAGATCGGCCACGCGGCTGCGCCGCTTTGCCTTCCTTTCCATTATTAAACAGGGGTAGTGCGCTCGCTTTCCAACCAGGGAGCAGGGGACAGGATATAGGTACATACTCGTATGAAGCAGGAAAGAGAAGTCGGACGTACACTACTATTTACTATATATATCACCGAAGCCTCATCCCAAAAGCAAGTCCTGAAACGGTGCCAGTTATCCAACTCAATCTCCCAGGTGCGAGGCGTGCGGTTAGAGTTACAGTCGCTAAGGTCTTCCAGCCCTCGCTGAGAGTCCCATCTTGGTTGTAAGGATCTCTTGCCATCCACTGTGACCACCGCATCACGACTTGTTTTGCCAGATCAAGACCCACTTCAAACCATTCCCTGTGACCCTTACCACACCGGTCGCAGTTTGTCCAGCGACAAAAACGCCCCAGCTCTGCATGTACCAGCTTCTCGACTTTCCGCGCGTGCGAGATCGAAACACCAGCTTCATGGACCACACGTACATCTTCAAAACACTTCTGAATCTGCTTCCTCCGAATCTCAGGTTTATCTTCACTGAACCCGATCTTCAGAAACCCAGGATAACTGTCAGCTGCCAGGATATAAATATATAGCCAGCGCACAATGCGCTTGGTCGGGATGTGCGTCTTTACCGGTACGGTCTGAGGTCGTCGCCGATAGCTTTTGTGATCTCCCCGTTGAGATACATTCGCAGAGCTCCTTCCTTCGTCTCATCCTTCAGCGCCTTTAGAATTTGAGGTGGAATGAAAAACTCTCGCTGCTCCGGTTTCGAGCAGGGACTTGTGCTGGAACCAGCCAGGGTAAATGATGTGAACGGCAGACAGCTCGGACCCAGTGGGAAACCATCTAGGAAAATCATCATCCATGTCCATGTCGTCCTCCATAGATCGTCACTGTCTTCGGCTGGGGCACCTTCAACGCTCCCTTGACAATCGCAGATTCTTTTCATATCCCAGAAGAGGGTCTCTTGCTTCAATGGGCCATTGTGTAGATTAGAAATAAATGTGTTGTAGATCTCAAACGCCAGTTTTCGAGTGACCTTTGATCGACACAGGATAAGCAAGGTGTGATGATGCAAATTGTCTTCTGTGGATTTCATCGCAGCTTCATTGCACATTGTCCCCACTCTCAACCAAGGATGCTGTAAAGATCGGGCCTAAAGGGGGATCGAAGAGCCTCAAAGACAGCTTGGATATTGCCATTTGTGACTACAGGAACACGGCGTGCAGAGCTGCTTTGGAGAGGTACCTGATGAAAACTCGATCGAGAGTCCCTTCAGCAGTGACTAAAAAGCACTCCCTACTTATAGGATGTCCAATTAGCACAGCAACAGGGGAGGAATCTGGTCGTGTTGACTTTCAAGTTAGATACAGCCCCTCTCCAACGGGTCAGCATGTTCAAAAGTACCTCTCTCCCTTGACAAGAGAGGGAGAGTACACAAGCACTGGGGCCAGGTGGCTAGGCTGTGCATGAGTGGAGAAGACCAGGTGAAAAGGTGTTCACGATGAAGCATTCAGTGTCTCGCCTCGGCCCTTCGACGGGATAGCCGTCAGCGGCGAAGCAACGAACCTGGAAAACTATTTCGTCCGTTGTGAATCTTGTATAACCCACCAGAGGAGATCTTTATCAATGGTGATGTAAAGCAGAATAATTACCAATGGCTAGGTGACGTGCCAACGTTCAAGCTCGAACAACATGCATTGAACACGAGAGGTTTGACAAGCACAATCGCTCCCAGGTCCAGACACAAGTTGTATCAGCCACGAAGGGGTAGGAGGGGATGCATGCCTATGTCCGATATGAGAACGGCATTCGCGGATACATCAAGGCAAGGCATTGATTCTTACAGACGGGCACCGAGAGCGATACTATTAACTTCCTCCGTCATCCTGCGAGCTTGTTGTAGGTCGGAGTCGCTGCGCTGACAACTTTTGGATCAGGCTGAATAGACCACTACCACTGAGACAAAGCCAAAGGCACAAGAGCTGAAGAACAGTTGGCTGATAATAGTACTCCGTACATACCAGTGGTGGTCAACTTGGGCATTACCAAGTCCCGTTTCGAGCTCCCGAGTCCAGACCCAGTCAACGTGATCACCAAGTTCGACCGCTATGGGCTTGGTGAGACCTGTAAGCGAATACGGAGAAATTGGACTCCAGAATTCTTTCTCCACTGTCATCACGTTTTATGCGATGAGAGAGGCCTTCCGCTTCTCTCTTACCAATTCCTTTCGGAACGAATCCCGAAATGTCACTCTTGCGGGGAGAGATCAGCTTATGTACTCAGATTGGAAATCCGAATGTTTGGAGGGCTTCGTAACTCCAACACTCCAGGGATCTCCATGAATCTCGATTCTCCTCACAACAATGACAGCGCTGCTCATTTGGACAACTGGCAACCCCGCCGTTGCTGACTGCCTGCCGCATATTTGAAGCCTGGGCCCTCCTGGAGCGAAGAGGTAGTAAATATTGGGGGCTCATCTGAGTTTAGGTTCAGAGGCCAGACAACCAAGATGCCGTCGCTTCGAGTGGGTATTGTTGGTGCCGGTATAGGTGGCCTGACAGCCGCCATTGCTATATCCCGGAGTGGCTGTAGCGTCACAATCCTCGAGCAAGGTGCGGATATCGGAGAGATCGGAGCGGGGATCCAACTTCATCCCAACGTCTCTCGTCAATTGATCCGCTGGGGGGTTGACAAGATTATCGAGAATGACCTCGTCGTGCCGGAGGAGCTCAACACTTGGGACAGCGGGAGCGAACTACGCCTTATCGGACGCACAGATCCCGAACAAGTCGCTAAACAAGCAGGTTTTCCATGGTGGGTTGTGCGTCGCGATCACCTCTACACGGGACTCGCTCAGTCGGCTTCTGAGCATGGAGCCAAGCTAATCATCCAGGCAAGAGTTGAACATATCGATGACACCTCCACCCCGATCAAGGTCGTCACATCCTCTGGACAGACATACGAATTTGATCTCTTGGTCGGTGCAGATGGCCTCAAGTCTACAGTCAGACAATATCTCTATCCGGGCATCATGCCATACGCGCCGAACAAGCTATGTGCCTACCGAGGTGTTCTCCCATTCTCGCTGATATACAAAGAAATACCAGAAGCGAGGCTGTTTGTCGGTAATAGATTGGACACTTGGGTCGGACCGAAAGGGTGCGAAGACTCTCTGTTTCGAGCCATGGACTTGATGAAAATACTTACAGAGAAGATAGCTATGTTCTGACTTACCCTACATGCGGAGGGAAAGAGCTGAATGTCGTGACCGCGGCTGAGTCCAAGGACTACGTGACGAAAATGGAAGACATCGAGGTCGAAGAGTTTTATGGGTAACTATACAAAAGCACAGTCAAACATCGCTGACCATGTCCCTGATAGATTCTATGCCGACTTCCACCCCTTCATCCAGAAACTTCTGCGCCTTGTTAAGTACACCAAACGCTGGCCATTGCTGCAAACACCACGAATGCTGTCCTGGTCCAACAAAGCCAAGAATATCGTCATGATAGGCGATGCAGTCCACGCCATGCAGAACCACATGGCCCAAGGCGCGGGGACGGCTATTGAAGACGGAGCATTCCTGGGACAGGTCATCAGCGAAGTTGTCCGGGGTGTTATCAGTATCCCCGAGGCCGTGACTCTCTTTGAACAAAGACGGATGCCCAAAGCATGGATCAAACAACAACTCAGCCTCCAATCTGGATTCATGTATACCTTGACACGACCGGAAGACCGTGAAAAGCGCAACCAGGTGGGCCGGTTTGAAGTTGCGCGGTGGGAGTACAACCCAGCGCGGCAGGAGCAGAGCCACATCGAGTATCGGAATTGGTTGGTTAGTCGTTGCATCGAGACGGCCAAGTCGATGTGGTACTATGATGCCGAAGGGGATGCGGACAACGCGGTCCTGGAGTACCTGATGAGCAGGGGCAAAGTGGACGAATTCACCCAGATGAGTGAGAATTTGAGCCGTAAATGGAGCTCGATTGTCTTCGGAAATGGCGTGGATGGCAGCTGGGTCGAGCCCCAAGTCGACTACCAACACATGAAGAACTCTCTTTACAAGGCCAACGGCAAGGAGAGAGACGGTATCCAGGAGTACGGTCTGCACGAAGAGGACTATGAGCGGTTTGGAAAGGGCTTATAGGGAATTCAAGACGAGGACGAGTAAGGATCATGTCTGGGGGTGTTTGTCGCAAGTGCAGAAGCAGCTTTGATGCTGGGGGAAGAGTTAACTCGTGTCGCTAGCTAGTATCTTAGTTGGGCTAGCGGGCTACTAAGTACTGGGTGCATAGCTGCTAACGAACTAGCAAAACTACTGGGCACGAGTTAGTCGCTGCTAGTTACACCAAGACGTCATTATCGGCTGTCAGACACCACTAATAAGGAAATAATAAGGAAAAGGAAAAGGCGGGGCGGTGCAAAGCGCAGCTCGGTTGGTGGCTGCGGTCACGGTGCTCAGTGCCCCGCTTCTGCCTGCGCCTGCGCCTGTGCCTCCTCACCCCTCTCATCTCTCCCACCTCTGTGCCCCCCTTCTCTGTGCGCTCCCACTGTCCCGCTGACGTGGTAGCTAAAATGCATCTCCTGCAAGGCAGCTTGCAACGTCTGCCAGTGATTGGCACAGGCAAACCCAATCGCCCGACGCATCTCTAAACCTTCAAAGTCGAGCCCAAGAGGGCACACCCAGCCAGCTTAGCAGGGTACTATTCGAGGCTGTGACGGATGGATGTCTTGGGTTTCACGCTCACTCAGAGTTCCTCTTTTTCAACCGGCAGAAACCCCCAACCAGAGCCTCACCCGGCTGTCTTTTCACGCAGGCACGACAGACACACCCACACGGACCTTTGATCCTTGATGCTCCCGCCTCTATTTATCCTCGTCCCAAACCATTGTCCGCCTAGTTCCGCAGAAAGCAGGGAGAAAGACACGCGCATGCAGCCGGTGAGCCAATCTTGAGAGGGGATGTCATCTGCCACGTTTTCAAAGCCAGGCATACAAGCATCATCCCCATAGCTCCGGCCCGGTTTGCTTTTTGCTTGTTTCTGTCTTCACTGCACAATGGTGTTACACCGACTACGGCTCAGGCAGATGCCCACATGCTTGATCCTGCCCAGCCTGATATCGCAGATCCTGTGAAGAAAAACAACTAACGACCAGAAGCCATAAGGCTGTACTCTTCGTCCAACTTTTGCCATCATCCTTTCATTCCTGCTTTACACCTGCGAGCCACCTTTTCGGCAAATTTCTGCCGATGCGAGGGGGAAATAGAGACACAATGCCGCTGTCGCACAAATCTCAACGGATCCCCAGTTTCTGGGACAGTTCTTCGGCGGACCCTCTGGTCATATTCCGAGTCCCTCCAAAGGTATCTTCGCAAAGAGCTCGTCTGTTTTGGAGACACCACCTCAAAGCTGACCACTTTCCCTAGCTCGACTTGACGCCTGGTTTAGGAAATAGCGAGCAAAAAGAAACTACCGATGACGCGAAGCACGCGGACAACACAGTCTCGAGTGTCTCCTCTACTTGCTCTTCTCGAAGACGGACGAACATCACCTCTCTCCCACCCGAAATCATCCTCGAAATTGTCGATCGTCTTCATCCTGTCGACCGTGTCTGTCTCGGCCTGACATGCAAATACCTGCTTTCCTCCACCATACCTACTCTACATATCACACGCTCAGACTGGCTGCGCTTTCACGATCGGCGGTACAGCTTCCTCCTCCCTCAGATGCCCACGCTCTATGTACGACTCGCTCACGGCTGGGTTCCCAAGGATAAATTTCGCTACTGTTATCGCTGCTCCAAGATCCTTCCGCGTTCGCGTGAATACTTTTGGAAGAGACTGCGCAGGACGAAGAGTCCAAGGTTTCGCAATGGACTGGGCATATCGGAAAAACACTGGAACTCGCTGGGCAAGAAGGGGAAATATGCATATTTGGTCGAGAACTGGTGCCATTCACCCGAGGAGGATAGCAGCGGTTTCTTCTGTGGACACTGCTACTGGCGGGAAAAGGATCGCATCAACTGTCCTGTGTATTGTCCTCTGTGCTTGGAGATTGATTTGACATGGGCACCCCCGAGGAAACCTTGGGTGAGGAAAACCTTGTGTCGGGGCTTGAGGGCTCTAGTGACCCCAATCGAACTAACTGCGTACTGGATGCTCGTCTGTTGTCTGTATGCGGTAAGGTTCCTATACGACCAGGCGGTACGATGTTGGGGAGCCTTGCATCGAATTCCGTCGCTCTTGTCGGGGCACGGGAATTGATCTCCTCGAACGGTTTGCTGATGAGCCGGTTGGCCCGAAAGGGCTCGGGGCCCGTGAATGTGGTGGCCGGTGGCCCCGGTTCTATCGATAAGGATCGTGTACAATATGATTAGCCCGGGCGGCGTTGAACAGCATTGCGGGATCGGGTCGGTTTGGTTTCGCCGGCTGGCCCAGCAGAGCGGGATTCCCATTGACTGGGATGCGGAGGAGTTTACAGGCGCAAAACAGGGCGGGATGAAGATTGGCGGGACTGAACGTGTCCCAGAGGCTCGTGGTGTGATTTTGAGGGTGCTCGACGACTCAACATTGAAGCCTCGGAGGAGTTGTATTCTGGGTTGAGAAACATGGTTCACGAGCATGTCCCGGGCAAATAGAGGCCGGAGCTGTGGGGGCACAGGGCACGTATGCCGTTGTTGCGTGCGAATAGAGCAGTTAGGGTGACAGCGAAGAAAACCACCTCGACATCGATGAGAAACACGGCTGCTCGGGCGCGTGCCAGCTTGCTTGTTTGCGAACTGTCGACAATGAACTCTCGATGTCCTCCGTACAGGGAAGGCTTTGACTTTCGAGGTGCGAATATCCAGAACTTGTAGATTAAGACTATAAAAATGCACAGTACGTACTATAGGTAGACACAACTCACAGCAGCTCATGTCGCGGGTCCTCTCGCTCAAGGGTATCATCCTTGCCATCGCCATCGCCATCGCCATGAACAACAGAAGCAGCAACCACAGCGGCTATAACAAGGCAAACAGCGACAACGACAACAATAACGACAACTTTAAGTTCAGTTGTTCTTTCCTTTTCCACTTTCAGCCAGATCACACACAGCTAGCTTTCGACTTGGCCAGCCCTCATTCATCGCACCTCATGCGGTGCGACGCTGTCAGGATCAGCATGGTGATCATGCCCCGCCGTCACGGCATCATAAGATCGGGCGTGGCTGGCCTCGGCCGGATCGATCGAGTCCCTATTCAATGTGTCCGAGGTATGCCCACTGCCTGCTTCATTGTTGCTGCTTGCAGGGGGTCCCTCTGGCCGACTCTCGATGGGTGCCAGCTTGTCGCCGTGATAGCCGCTGTGCGAAGCAGCAGCCGCGGCGGCATCTGGAGCGACGGCTGAACTGCGGCGTCGCGTTGCCGCAGCGGAGGCACCTGTGGTAGCTCCCGAGATGGACTCGCGGTGGCGGTTGGCGATCACATCGAACGGGTCGGAGGAGAGTTGGAAGAGGGACTGCTTTCGCTCGCGGACTTCGTACTGTTCGGCTGGGGTCATCTGAGAGTCGAGCGGGGCGACGTTGGCGATCTCGGCGGCTGAACGTGAAAAATGAGCCATCGGATTTGACTGAGAGGCACGGCGTGTGTGAAGGCTTTAGGAAATCTCAATCTTCATACCTGAGACGCGTCTGCGACTATAATATGGGTCATCTTGAGGCTCCATCCCGCCCTTTCTACTGTTGCTGAACTTCCTGACGTCAACGCCTGTGGCGCTGTACTTGCGTTCGCGGTTCCAGTATTCTTCTTCGGGGCTTAAGCCGGTGAGTCCGACGTTGGCGATTTCAGCCTCTATTTGCATTGTCAAATCATGCCTCGCACAGATGGAGAAAGTGGAAGGAACAGACTGTCAACAGGTTTTCTGCCATAGTAGGGATCTTGAAGGGGCTCAATGCCACCTCTGAGGCTGTTGCTGAAACGCCGTACATCTGCTCCATGTGCAGTGTATTTCTTCTCACGATTCCAGTATTCTTGCTCTGGTGTCAGTCCAGTAAGGCCAACATCCTTGATCAGTTCGTCTGCACCAGCAACCCTTGTTAGTATCGAACTAGAGGACTCTGAAGCCAGCGACAGCCTTACCAGGGACAGGCTTGCGGTTGTAGTATGGATCTGCCGTTCGGGTCATGGTCAGTCAGGGCAAGACTGCTGTCTGCATGTACAACTGAACAGATTTGGGAGAGATGTGAAGGGGAAGAGCTTAGGGTGGCCAGGACCAGGGGATGCGCAGGCCCATTCTATACGCTTTGCCCAGGACCGAGGGAAGCCCAGGGAAGAGCTGGGGATTACGAGGAGGGGGTGGAAGGTATCAGGCCATGATAGACACAAAGAAACTCCGTCAGAGGCGCGTGGTTTTGGGGGTCAAGCCAAAAACGACCCGAGTTTCGTATATCGGCGCATCATGGTGGTTGATGGTTGGTGAGAGTTTCCTGGTGACCTCGATCTTCTGGTATCCATGCACGCTGATGGCGTTTCCGCCACTCTGGGGAGAGAGACCTAAAGAGACCCCGCCCTGGGCGTTCAGGACCAGGGTGCTTTGCGAGGAGAACATGGGGAAGTCCCTAGCGACGAGCCTGTGAGACGCCAGATAGGCTGGAAACCCGCATGCGACCAAGAACAGAAGACGCGATGGGCGTGGCAGCCATGCCACAACAGGGCTCGTCCATGCAAGTCGTTGACATAGCTAGGAGCTGGGGAAATACTCCGTGAGAGTCCGACTCTTTTTGCCCCATTGTGCCTTACTCAGTCAGGCACTAGCTGGTGAGATCTCGACTTCATCACTCATAGTGCTGGTTCTGTCGTTGTGCCGTAGACATCCCTCCTCTTACCGCAGCCAAGTCAACCACGGAAGGTCTCGGTTTTGTATTCGCATAAATCATCGGCCACCTGCCTGCGCGGGTCTCAGAAGATTGCCGCCGTGGCAGGGGGTACAGGTGCTGCTGCGGAGAATAAGGGCGAAGGAGAAAACGGCCGATTGTGGAAAAAAGGGCCAGCTTCTGCAAAGGCTGACGCCTAAACTCCAACGAGATTTTGAGCGAGAGCCACCTACGTCACCTGCTTCCACTTCCCTCATCTGAAAATAAAGGGCCAGAAGACAAGCTGGCAAACCTGCGAGGCATACAAGGACCGTCTCTCTTGCCCTGTCACGTTCGATAAGTTGAAGTGCGATGAATCGAGGGTGTGTGTCCCTGTGGGTAGGAAGTCATTGCAGGTCGCAGATGGCCGAAGATGGAGGGACTGCCTTCGCTTGAGATACAAAGGTATGTACCTCGTAACCGGAGTCTTTCATCAGCGAGAGGACGTTGTCTCAGTGAATGTGTACAATCTTTCCGTATTTCAACCTGGCGCACGTTCTGGTGCAGACTGTCTGATCGATGAAGCTGCCGGAACATTTTGAAAGGTTGGCAGGCGATTGTGCCTTGAATGGTGAGTGAAGGCCGCCTCCTCGGGCATCTTTCAACCCTGTTTCCTCGCGTCCTTTCCAACCTTCTGCCCTTCTCGACGATCGCAATCATGACGGCCTGCAACTCCTTTGTCAGAGGCAACTGTGCTCGAGGCCTGGAATGCCGCTTCGACCACCCTTAACCTCTGCCTCGTTCTTGCCAGCCTGACACCCGTAACTCCCTGCGCCCCGAGGCATCCGAATTTCTACTCACTTCGTCTCCCAAATCTGTATGCGGATTTTACAAACCGGGGTGACTGCTGGAACGGTTCTGATTGCCCTCACCTCTATCTTGAGAACTCGCACAACCCTTCGAGCCAGGTGTCTGCAAAAGGTGTAAGTCTTCGACGCTAACGTTGGAATGGTTACGTCTACAGAGATTTGCGGAAATAACAGCTTGAGGTATTCGGTTTGCCGACTCTACTTGAAGACACCCGCCGTGGAATAATACGGCTTCTCAGCTGCCACTCGTCCTGCCATCTAATAACCCTGGAAGGCGTTCACTTCGTAACGGCGTTGTCTGGGGGCTTTTGCCGTTCGGTAAGGAAATTTGGGGACTCGCCAGGCCACTCATTCTCGACCGTCCTCGTACAGAAACGGAATGCCGGCGAGTCGACAACAGCAAAGAATGTCTCTCCTGCTTCTCGGATGCCGAAGACGTCCAACTACGCTGTGGTCATACGTACTGCCGGGGTTGTTTTGAAAGTCTACGTGAAGAAGTCAAACATGACAAGGTTCCAATCATGTGTTTCGGCCATTGCAGCAACTGCGGGCAAATCGACTCTGTGGAAGACCTCATGAAAGTCCTCAATCACCCCAAGTTTGAAGCGGCCTTCGAGGCAACCTTTAACTCCTACGTACAGTCTCAACCCGATAAGATGCATTATTGCCCAACTCCCGATTGTCCCACCATCTATAAAGCCTCTAAAGAACCTGGTGTGTTTCCTGGATTAAATGCTTGGCTTCGATCGGTGTCAGATGTCGAAAATTGAGCCACGATGGACTGAGTTGCCAACAAGCCCGGGACGAGGCCACGGGATTTCAAACCGAGAGATAAAACGAAAGGAGCACAACATCTAGCATTGCCCGAAATGTGGGACCGCAACGTACAAGGAGTTCAGCTGTGATCATGTGGATTTGCGGAGGCTGTAACATACGCCTTTGTTGGGCTTGCCTGGAGACATTTACCGTTGAAGATGAGTGCCATTGTCGCAACTGGTCACGTTGATCCTGAGGAGTTGCAGCGGATCGAGCTGGAGCTGGAGCTGAACTTTGAAAACTTCAACTTTGGTGATTCGTGGGGATTCGGAGTCTGGTTGGCCTCCCCGTCCTAACAACATCAACACAGCAGCGAGGATGCTGGATTTCTTGACAGAGCAAGCCCAAAGATATGGTATGCGTCGCGTGTGCTGAGTATGGGAGCAGTGAATCAACCAGAGGACGACGGGTCCAAGGATGGAAGCCGAACCGTGTAATCGAGGACACATCCAGGAGGGAGCGAATGTAACATTTCAAACCCATGAGGAGTCTAACGGTCTACCAGACTTGCCAGACTCGGGGAGAACTCGCAGTGTTCCATCCTGTACGTGACAACAGGAAGAGCTCGTCAATCACTGCAGAGCTCGCCTTGCCTCGTGTCTTCACATGGACGGTCGACCAGTAAATGCAAGCGTGGTGGAACAGAATGGCGAATGCAGCATTAAGTATGGGGGAACTACGGGTATCTTAACCCTTCCGACTCTTGCTTTCTTCAATAAGATGAAGAGCATCAATCTTTTCCTCCATGAGGGTACAGTAAGTTCACAGTCACCACTTGTGTTTTTTTGTTGCCTTGAGTTCCTTTCGCCCAGCTCCGTATCCATTTCACAGCTCCATGAGCTCCAGCACTAAGCGTATTGATAATCCAATCTCACAATATTGATCCATTTTGGTTTCCGCCGCCCATCCCATTGACAGTCCCGAAAAGTTGTCTTTCTTGGACCTCTGCTCAAGAGAGCATCACACCAGCCATCGACTCCTCTTCCATCATGGGCACCGGTATTAAAGAGTGATCTCGCTGTTATTTCTTTTCCCTTTTTTGGTAACGAGTAGCGATGCGCGGAAACATGACAAGAACGCTTGCAATGCACAAAAAATAATCTCACAAGACTGACGGTAGTAGAAACACTTCTGTGTGTGCTAACAGAATAGTATGACGCGGTCGAAGCGAAAAGCTGGGAGGATCTTTCTATCTTCTTTGGAGTGGTGGGCTCCTCAAATCAAAGAACATTCAATATGATTCGCCGCTCCATTGTTGAGTTGAGGTCGGATAATGTGAGGTGAATTGCTGGCCCACAGTGGCAGGAGTTGGTGTGGGAGGGGCACACTGGTTTGGGGCATTGAAGGTCTTCTGCGTTACGCCAAACATGTCCCCTTCAGGGGTAATTGGAGGCGTGTACAGACCATGCTGAACCAGCGGTGGGAATTGTGGTTTTTGAGGTGTGGCATAAGTTTGGAAGTATTCCGGGCCCGCTGGTTTGGTGATTGTCGAAGGGGGGCTCAGGTCGTATGTCGGAGTCAATGGGGCTCGAGAGGCAGACATGGCAGCCTTTTGAGCAAGGAAGTTGGTCAGGACTCGTGAGACACCGGAATAGCGTACCGAGGCATACTTCCGCGCTAAAATGCCCGAGGGCTCCTGCACCTTTTGCAACAGTTCCATGACGGTGCTGCTGCAGAAGTGAGAACCAAACTCATTTTGGCGAGCTTGAGGTCGACCCAGGATATGGCGCGCCAGAACAAGAGCTGAAAGGGCAAGGGTGTGTGACTGTTTGGACACAAAGTCTCGGTGATAGAGGGCGATCTCCAGGATGTAGAGAGTCAAGCTTTCTGTTTCGGGGTCGTAGACGTTGTCCTTCACAGCCAAACGCATGAACGCGTCGACAGTGGGATGTCCGATGACCCAACCAAGGGTTGACAGAACATGCCACTCCATCTGCAAGAACATATCATCGTCATAGAGCGAACAGCACATTGACTTCAACTCTTTGATTGTGGGAACCTTTTCTTTCTTATCTCCGTACTTGGCCGCAATGAGCAGTGCAGCGCAGCCGACAAGCTGATAATGTCGCTTGTAGACGACCCGTTTTGAGCAGTAGCGATCGAGGAGGTTGGTTGTGAGAAAGAGAGTCTCCGGTAGCAGCTGAAACGCCGTGTGGGCTTCCACCAAGAAGTCGAGAAGGTAAGGCCTCATGTACCACTGGATCTCTGTTTGGATGTCAATCGCGTCGACGTCAGGTACGGTCTCAGCCTGCATAATCTTGTCAGTTCCAACTCGCGCGTCGGCTTCCAAGGTCACTCACATCCATCTTAAGCATATGCTCGAGCATGTCCTGCTGGTATTCGTCTGCGTCTCTTCTCGACATCTCCGAGGCCATCAGATGCTGACGATGTCTGGCAATTTCCTTAGCGTGATCTGAGTTCTTGATGACTGGACGGCGAGGTTCGTCAAACACTTCGACGATACCACTTTCGTAGCCGCTGTCGTTGGAGCTGAAGGAAGAGATTCTGTTGTTGAAGGCCATCTTTGCAAGATCCATTACGGAAGATCAGATATCAGTTGGAAGTGAGGAGAAGAGAAAATATTCGGATTGTTCGAAATCGTGAGTTGAACGACGGATAAAAAGTGAGTGACAGTCGTGTAATTGGCAAAAGCGTTGAAAGGAGTGAATGATCGGACGCAATCAAATGTTGCGCGAGGCTGGAGGTGGCCAGGAACCAAGGGAGTTAAAAAAGTGTCTCTACTAGACTGGTAAAACTGGAGCGTGCGCGGTGTGGTTAGCCGACTGATGATAGGCAGGTGAGTGCTAGGACATACCGAAAGGGAGAAATGGCACGGCGATTTAAATCCTTGTTACTAGGGATCAGCACGAATGCTCTTCATCTGGCCAAGGATTGGTATGCCAAGTAGATTGACTGCTCGTGCGTAGGTTCGGCGAAGGTCGAATGAACGACTCCGCTGGGGGTGGATTGGGACCCTGGGACTGGAATGCGGACTGTAGAGGCCACAAGAGGAGTAGATTTTGCACTGGAAATCTAAAATGAAGTCAGTGGCCCGAATGAAGGGAGACTATAAGAGCTCTGACCTTGGGATCTAAAAAGCACGTTGCCTATTCTAGACTTTGCTGACCTCGTTTTGTTAGGGAGATGCCAATCTGCTTCAAATATCTGGTCAGTGAACATTTCTTCAACCGCGTCGAAAATGTGGGGATGTGGCAGGGCATCGTCCTCAGTGATGCCTCCTGCCAATAGAAATGATTGTATGCGTGCTCAGTGATTTGATCGACGTCCCAAGTACAGATGGTAGTGGCCAACGACGACGTCAAATTCTTATTCCCTGCGGTGCCGTGGCCAGTATCTCTCTCCCTTCACTCATTCAGAGCGGAGGGATCGTCAAGCACCATGGGCCTTGGGCCCCTTCCTCAGCATTTGGTCAGGTAGGCGAGGAGAGGCAGCAGCGTCCCTTGATGGACAGAAGTTGCCAGTACGCCTTGAACGTGTTCGTGTCCTCCTCTTCATTTCAACTTCCTCCGGGGCTTCGTCTGGCCCATGTTGAGCTGTTCTCCTTAATACCGGAAAGGTGGGGTCCAAGCAACCACAACTGGCATGAACCAGGAAAGAAACTGGAGTAGCCTGAGAGTGCGCTGGGTATTTGCCAGGATTTGTTGATGTGTCGGATGACCGAAGGGCGAAGCGAGACTGCACGCCTCCTGGCTGGGTGGTAGTGTTGGGCATATTTTGTTTGCCTTGTGGAGGTTTTGGCTGGACCTCTGGACATTGGATCTCACATTTCCCCCCAATGCCTAACCAGCAGCTGCAAAAAGGTCCTTACCTCTTGGAATGAGATGGAGGATTTTTCTGTGCCCAACAACCCAAGGCAGAACGTTATCCAGAACGTTCTGTGTAAACGAATGCAGGTGATCGAGAGCAGTGCAGGGTGGCTAGTGCAGCTCCAACAAGGCTCAGGAGGAGGAGGTCAGAGCTGGGCGTGGGAGGAGAGTCGAGGACATGAGAGATACTCAGCCGAGTCGTGATGTATCCGAAGGTCCAACGACAGGAGGAGGAGAGGGAAGGAGAGGATAAAGAGGACGAGGTCAAGGCCTCATGGGAATGAGGATTGTGAGGAAAAGGACGGTGGTGGTGGATGAGGAGAAAAAGGAACAGGAGGCCGTCTGAAGTCTTGAGATGAGCAAGAGAGAGTGGAGCAATCCAAGTGTAGGAGATGGTTGGCCCTGACAGCAGCGATTGGGCGCAGGCGCAGCCCCAGACACGACTTGCAGGGGTCGACAGAAGGACAGCCAGGGAACCAGGGAATCAGAGACGGCGGCGAGGTAGGCAAAGTTGAGGTTGCAGCTTGTGCGGGTTGGCGGATTGCGCGACAGCCAGCCAGACAGGGCGAAGGGCTCCAGTTGTTGTGCGGCTGGCGGAGCTGGGGGGCAACCAGGGCGTACGAGGTACGGTATTAGGTAGGTATCTCGCTGTCCATGCTGATGGTCAAGCTGTATCGTGAAAGCGTGAAATAACGAGACAATGGGCTAGGGGGCCGCGGGCAGCCTGTGGCCGCCATTGTGGCAGCTAGTGATTTGTTCAGCCTCGATCAGTGACCACTGGTCCCCTAAACTTTGTCCTGGTCTCTGGCAAACCTGGGTTCCGGCCAGCTTAGCAGCCCAACAGTCCGGATCTCTGGGGTCGGATAGGGGCTACCCTTAACTGTAGTATCCACGACCATCACCACCTGTAACGTCTCTAATAGTACTCGGTACGAGGTACTTTGTAGAAGTATTACCTGGAAGCAGCGACATTCATACCCTTCATCTGATGTCCGTGGTACTCACGGCCTGTCACTTCACCACATCCACCTCCGTCACTGGCACAACCAAATTTCCTTTCACCTCCTGCTTGGCCTCCTCACGGGCTCTGCGATGTACAACCCGTGCATCCAGCTTACCTACCACCC